ATACTGTACTAAACATGAAAGGAAAAACTATTTCTTTAGAAAACTTCCCTTAAATCATTTGGAAGAAAATGTAATGCCGTATTTTTGTTTAATAAAATGACATTTTACACGGACTCTGAATCAAACTGAAATGAAGGTACACAGGTATGGAGGTTAGCAAGAGAATATGTGTTTGGTATCCAATGCTCCATTATTCATATTCCTGAATTACCAGGAGGTCTGTAGGTAAGTTGGAGATGAACAGAAAAGGGGAGGGCACGGAGAGGTGACAGGTGGGTACCGTAAGGACAATCTGAACTACACCCTCACCCCCGAGATCAACTCTGAGCAAGAAACTGAGCATTTCTCATTTGGAGGTGAAGATTCAATAGCCCCTTTCTAGTTACCCGTTCAGCTCATTTCTCTGTTGATGGATTTACTTTACCAAGCCTGGGTTTAAAATAAAATGTGTCCTTGTTGGACCACTGACTCTAAGATAACCTCTAAGGATCTGAAGAGGCAAGGACAGTGGAAACAACTTGCCATCTATGGGCCAGCGCCTCTCTGGCCCTCACTGGGTGGGTACTCACCGAGGTCGGCGGAAGGTCAGGCCATAGTGCTGACAGGCCAGCCCCACAGTGGGTGTGTACACAATGGGCATGAACTTCTCCACGTCCGACGTCAGCACCCGGTAGAAGAGCTTCTCGTTGCGGTCTTGGAGAGTCATGAGAATGATGTACCTTGGAACGGAGAGAAGAAGCCAGCTGATCCCCGGAGCAAGAATTCGGCTGCTTGCCAGACCCTGGGTCATGTCACTGTGCCTAAGGGTGGAGACTCGGCCCCAGGGAGGGGTGAAGCACCAGAGCTCCTGTACCTGCTCAGCTCCACTGTCATATTCAACAGTAAATAACCCATCTGCCCTAAGGGAGGAGAGTCCACATCTATGAAATGACAAGAGTCTGGCTGTCTTATGCACATACTTATTGCACATGGTATAGGCACTGTTCTAGAGTTTACATTAGCCAGTTGAAAGTTTTCAACAAGTTGCCACTAAAATTCTTGCTATTTTAGAAATACAGAGACTAAAGTCCCAGAGATTTTATGGCAGAGTAGTGACTGGAACCTAGGTGGTCTGGCTCCAGATTCTTTGTCTTCTTCAACCACTACAAGATGGCTGTGTGACTGTATAAGCTGTAATGGAAAACAATAGAATGGTAATATTCTGAGTGGAATAGGGTCAAGGAATACAGCGAGTGTTTGATAAAGTCCATCCTTGCCACCCTAGTCCCTGTCACAAGCAGAGTGCACAAGTGGCTGACTAGTACCTTATCTCAGAAAACCTATCCTCAAAAGAAAGATTATTTCTTTTGCTTATTCCATGAAACCTGAAATCACTAAGCCAGGAAAAGAGCCTCCACTTACGTTCCCCAAATATAAAAATCTCTGGAAGAGAAGACTCAGGTACTGAAATTCACATTGAGCAACTGCCACAGTCTTCTGAATGACAGTGTAGGAGCTAGTATGGGTATATGAGGCCCTGCCTGGGGTGGACTCAGGGAGATGCCCTGGTAGGGGTAAAGAGCTGTGCTGAGTGGAATGATCAGTAGGCATGGTATCGGTGTCCTGGGTTTGACCCCAGCTCTGCTACTTATGAGCAGGGTGACTTTGGAGATGTTTTACACTGGTTCAGAGAACTAAACACCGAATTTTGGACATGTTTTTAGGAAGGGAAGACTTATGCTCAGGCATAGTCATGAGCTCATCTCACTGCCAGTGTAGAACATTCCCTTACCCTATAGCCATTTATGCACACTTCTTTCCAGTTCAACATTCTATAGCTCCTATCCCCCAATATCTACCAGCATACCATAACCTTTACCCAGAAGAAGCTGGGGAGTCTTCATAGCCTTTCCACTAGTTGTGTGCTGAAATGAGGGTCTCTTGGTAATGAGTGGGTCAATGCAGTGAGCCCTGTGCTAGGAGCAAGCCCTCTAGAGCTCTAGAAGTGTGCACACTCATCCCTGATCCTAGAGTATCTTTTAGGCAGGTAAGTGGGTTGGAAAGAATGGGAAGGTTAGGACTAGGGACTTTAACTTTTAGAGTTTCATGTCACTAGCAAAATTTCACTTTGAACTTTCTTTGGTACATTTAACAGAAGAGGAAGGTTCACATGGTTCAAAGTTAGGGCATGTCTCAGCTTGTTAGAAGAATTTGTGTAACTTCTAGTTTGATCTTTAAGATGCCTTGGCTAGACCTAGTCTGAGCAGAGACGAACAAAAGGGAGAGAATACTTAATTTGGGGACAATATGGCCTTAGAGTTAATGTGACTAATAGGCCTGGAATTTACTGCTTTGGGGCTAGGGACATGGGTGTGGACAGGAGCATGCTTATTTGCTGCTGCTCAGAAGCTATGGTTGATTTGGAAGAGGAACAGATAGGAGCAGGATGAGCCTGACATGTTACTGAGCTCTGCCTAGATAGTGGCTGCCATACCTTAGACTTAGTGGAAGTCTTGGCCATTCAGCTATGTGGATATAGAGAGAACATTTTTCTTCTTCCTACACACCTGCTAGAACTCATAACAAATTGACACGTTTGTTTAACAAACCCTTACACAGTGCTTACTTGGTTACAGTACTATCCAAAGCACCTATCCTAAACACTAAAGTATTTAATTCTCATAGTAGTTCAGTGAATTAGGTACCATTGACAGTCATGGTACAGGTGAAGAAGGATGGATAGAGAGGCAAAGTAATGCTGCTATTTAAGTGATAGAATATGGATTTTCACTCAGTCTAGAACTAGAGGTGAGTCCTACAATGACTAGGCATGGCTAACATAGACTCTGGAGCAGGCTGTGTTTAAATCCTATGCTGACCCACGGCATGTGATCTGGGTGCCTTCTTTTAACACTGGCCCAAGGGCTTTTGTGTCTGTGTCTTCACTGAGAACTCAGAGAGGAGGCAGCAACATCAACTGCAGCACAGCCTCTAGGTCTTTCCCAAGGTGCCCCTGTCCGTTTTCCTGTTACATATCATGTTGTTTCTATTCCAGGAACCTGGGCCATGCACTACTTCCCTAACAACCCCATCTCTCCCTCTTTGCTTCATCTCTTCCCCCTCAATGAAATGCCCTCCCTCAGCCCCTGCTGTCTGCTGAAGCAGTTCATCCACGCTTCTGGGGCTGACTCATCTCTCAAATTTCCCAGATGACTTTCCAGACTCCACTGGTTGAAGCCAGTTTCATTTTGGCTGTGTTTCTGTTTTAAGAAGCCTCATGTCTAGGGTGACTACCACTCTTTTGTGAGGACAGAGCTGGGCTTGATGCCTTTCAAGGCTCTCAGCCTTTCCGAACTACAGAGGATCCAGAGAACCCTCTATGAATCACAGGGGAGAGAAGCTCAGCACAGAGAACAGATTCAGGCACTGACTTGTCCAGGTCTCTCTGCTGACTCTCATAGTATCTCATGATCCGAAGGAGCTGGACATCCTGGCTCAGGAAGCAGGGGGGGATCAGGCCATGGATTCCAAGATGCAGCCTTTCTTCCAGTGTAAAGGCCATACCCTGGAAAGAAAGGAACACACACCTAAATGGATGTTCAGGAATCCAAGGAAGAGAAGTTACATCTATAGACAGGCAAAAGTCAGGATGGCTCAGTAGCAAGGGATCAACTCCCACCTCTGCTATGTAACCTCTTTTTCATAAGAGGGCTCAATCCTATGCTACTTACTTTTAGGCCTCTTGAGGAGAGAAATGAGGAAAATATCCATGTCATCAGAATTTGTTTTAAATATACTTAAAAAATATTTTTTCTTTATTATTTTATGTGTATGAGTGCATTGCCTGCATATATATAAGTGCACCTGTGTTGTGAAAAATATTTTTTCTTTATTATTTTATGTGTATGAGTGCATTGCCTGCATATATATGAGTGCACCTGTGTTGTGCAGTGCCTGTGGAGGTCAGAAGAGGACATCAGATCCCCTGGAACTGGAGTTATGGGTAGTTGTTAACTGCCATATGGGTGCTGGGAATTGAACCTGGGTCCATTGCAAGAGCAGCCAGTGCCCTTAACCACTGAACCATCTCTCTAGCCCCAAAGTTACTTTTCTAGATGTTTTAGATTCATAGAAAAACTCAAGTGAAATAACAGCATTCCCATATATGCTTTCCTCCAGGTTCCCTGATTAACTTAGTATCATATATGATAACTCCATCAGAGTTAAGGAACAATGACCCATTATTACAATTAAAGTTGACAGATTCTTCAGATTGCCTTCATTTTTATCACATGCATGGTGACCCAGGATTTCATCAAGGATGCCACATTAGATTGAGTCATCACTGTAGGCTCACTTTGGCTCTGACAGTCCTCAGATACCACTGGGTTTCAATGACCTTGGTTTTTTGGAGGAGTGCTGGTCAGGTAGTTTGAACAATGCTCCTCTGCTGGAACATGTCCAGGTTTGCTCACAGTTATACTGGGGATGTGGGTTTTCAGGGGTCACTGTTGGTGTGGATCCTGACCACCAGGCTGGGGTAGTGTTTGATAGTTTCTCTTGCTTTGGAGCTATTCTGCCATGCATGATTATCGTTATCAGTTTATTTATATTAGAATATATTTATGAGTATTT